ATATTCAGCCCTTTGAACTTTAAATTATAATCATTGCGTGTATTAACTTTTAATTGTTATGCGGAGCTCTACTAAATTAGCAAAGCGGTGTAATGTATCATAAAGTCTGCTCCGTCCGACTTTAAGACTTTCTTTACTGGTTTTCACATACCTTTGATCTGTTCCAGAACTGCAAGACTTTAATATGATAAACGATTTATCCTTTATGGTACCGAAAAATATTTCCAAACTAGTAGATTCTTGCAGGCTCTGCAACAAAACATTTAAATTTCCTTAAATGGAAAATAAGGCTGTTTTTATTTACTTGATTTTTATACAAAGAGTCATAATCATTCATTGTGGTTTTTGGCTACATTAATTCATTGTTGTTTTGTGTTGATATTCAATTTCCGCTGTGTATGCAATGAACAAAAAACCGTCTACGTTTTTTTCCCTTTTGGTAGACAGAAAGCGTTAAATGGGATAGAAAACAATGCTTAAGTCAAGTATGATAAATGACGTTTTGATTGTGTTAATAAAATTGTGCGATAAGGATAGAAAGTGAAAAATATTATGAATTTTATTAATTGTAAAAAAGGTAAAACAGAACTGTTTTTATTAAATTTTATCAGCCAAAAAAATTAAACGGTTCTCAAAGGCTACTTTTGTAATGACGAGTAGGGCTGCTGCCAGCCAAGTCCATTTACAGTGTTAATGTCTTTTCATTATTTTCGTTTCTTTTTTCTTATTTAACGAACATTTTCTTTTAAGAAAAATATATGAAGACATAATTATTAATTTTGTTGCATATCTTTTTCGTAAATCTTCTCACGAGGCACACACACACATTCGCATACGAATGGATGCGTTGTCCTATTAATATTCCGGATAATGCACAGATGGCATAAATTCACTCTTTGGTGATAATTGGATTAAGATGTGAAATAAGAGAATGTTAAAACGTGAAACGAATAAAATGGCGGAAAATATAAAAAAGGAATTATTGTTATTTTCTTTCGTTTTCTTTCTTTTTTGAGTCATAGACTCATATTAATGAGCCTACAAGTTAATGGTGCAAGTCGCATGATTTTTGCAGATTGGCAACTTTAAGCGACCATCAGAACTATACTCGATATTGCTTTTAAATATGGCTTTTATATATTAATAAGAATAAATCGGTGAATACTAACGTTGTATTTGAAGATTTATCGATAGAATAATCTTCGACATTCAAAAATAGTTTATGAAGCCTTCGAAATGTTGGTAAATATCCTTGAATATTGCGGTTTAAAAAATATCTGAGACTCTTTAAATTATTTAATGGGTCTCCCTGAGGGACTTTTTTTAATTCTAAATAACCATTTTATTATTTAATATCACTCGATAAGACCAAAATTTACCTCATCGAAATAAGGATTTTAGCTCAAATAGATTTCAGCCAAAGAAGAATGGGGCCCAATTTTTCTTTGGCTGAAATCTCTTTGTTGTAATTTGGTGTCGATTGCTGGTTTGAATGAAGTTCAAATATGGACCGTATTCATCTACCGTCCAGGGAAATGTAGTCCAAAATCATTTTGAGCGTTTGCAAGTAGCAAAAATTAACTCTCAAAACATAAAAAACAAGTAAAAAATCTGTAAGTGCCGAACTTTGAATACCCTCCACCATTTGGAACAAATTTTGCAATTTTCAAAAAAAAAGATCCTTTAAAAATTCTTTTGAAAACTTAAAAATACCAAATGTAGCCGTCATATTACGGTCTAAACGACGACGTGGACCTGTATAGGCAATTTTTGACATAAGCCATTACAATATTCAAATGCGAAACTTAAAAAAAAAACTGTAAAAAGTAAAATTCCATAATTTTGTCGGAAATAGCATCAAATTTTAGAATACGTTTAGATTTCCTCGAATTGGTTCTCATTTGGCACGAATTATGGCCTTCAAACGGCCACTGAAACCTTCACACGTTGCCCGAATGTTGCTCTGCGGTATTTTGGCCCGGGGAAGAGCGTACTTGAGGTGATCGACACTTTGGTATTTTTTAGTGCCATCCATGCTTTCCAAATTACTCCAGACACAATAGTCCAACTGATTGGTATCCGGAGATTTTGGTGGCTATTGTGCGCTGGAAATGAAGCGAGGAACCTTATGTTGTAACTATCCTTGGGTGGCCCGTGCTAAGTGCGATGAAGCTGAGACCTGTTGGAATGTCCAAGGTCTGCGGCCAAAATGTTTGCGTGCCCAGAGCTTTAATACACCCTCCAAAATATTTTCGTGATAATATTTGGCATTTTTTCTGATGCCACGGTCGATTAATACAAACGGAGAGCGACCATCGGCTGTTATGGCGGCCCACGCCATCACCATGGCCGGCTTGAGGCTTTAGTTCTGGTGGCAAACCGAAGGTGCACATTTTCAGCTGACCTCTTTGGCAAGTAAACACGATCATTTTGTTTCTTTACAAACTGCTGAACAACGAATGTTTTCTCATCGGAGAAAACCAAATTCGGTAGTTCACCACTTTCGGCCAAGCGAAGCTCTTTTGAGTCTATTTTTTTTTCTGTTGCGGTATAAGTTATTGCACTTTTGGAATTTCAATGGCTTTACCCCGAGCTCATTTTTCAATATTTGCCGAATGGAATATTGGGATATGGTTAGCTCACGAGCCATTTTTCGGCCTCTGCGACGCGGATTGCGATCAAGTCGCTTCTTTACTTTTCGAACCATTTCTGCTGATGTTGCTGTTTTTTTCCGTCCACTTCCTTGACGTCGGGCTACGCTACCAGTATCACCATAACGAGCGATGGTACGAGACACAAAAAATTTATAGACATTTAAATGCTGGAGTGCTCTAACGATAGCCACTTGTGGTTTTCCAGCCACAGAAATCACACTATCACGCTTGAATTCCATCACGAATAATTTTTTTTCTGGAAAATTCTCACCAAAATGCTTTTCTACGCTTGTAAACAATATAATGGACTGTCACTGGAATAATTTTAACAGGTATCGGACAAGTGACTTGGAAATGACAGCTGTCTGAAGGTTGTTTCCGTTTTTTCAGCTCATCCTATAGGTAGTAATATCGAGATATTCGATTTAATTCGGCAGCAATCAAGTGCGGCTCTGTAGTATAAAACAAGCAAGCAAAGGCTATAGTCATGCGGTGCTGACCCTACAACACTACAATATTCAGTTTGAGTAGAGTCCTCTCCAGTTGTCCAATATTAACGCACTTCGTCGAGTTGTTAGATACTCAAATCTACTTCACACGAAAGTTGTGGTCCATTTTACAACTGAATACAATCCAATTGTCATTCAAAATGCCAGACTTCTTCTTCTTAACCCTCTTCTCATGCAAAGTTCCGTGTCGATTGGTTTTCAATTGTCACTTGTAGACCGACTGCAAAATCAAGACCCATTTGAACCACTAAATTTACATCTTCAAAAACAGTAAGCTTTAATTGGGAATCTAACACTATACCCATGGACCGGTCGATAATTGCGACCTGCATATACACTCAACACATTGTGTCGGGGTGTAGAAAAACTTTAGAAAATTTACAATTGAAAATTGTAAGTCATATTGAAAAACTCGCATGCGATAAAAAATTTGACAAAATTTGGAAAAAAATGTAACAAAAATAGTCACTTTTTTATTGCCATATTTTTCCGCGATTCCATTAGATTTTAACTTCTTCTGGCTAGAAACCATTCCGAATTGATGAAAATTGCTAAAATTATTCCAGCGGTTCTTAACTTATAAGCAGAATATCTATGATCTTTTTCTTTTACTTATATATTGCACCTATCTTGCTATATATCCCATATATTTACTGTCATCATCACTGTAATAGTCAGAAGAGACCTTTTAATGCATTTGTGATTTGGCCGGGATTAAGAAATATTCGCGGTTTGTTGGACATTTTCGTATTTTTTGACATAAAATTTATGGCTTATTTTTACCCGCTAAATATTGTCCGATGACCGTCCAAATTGGTCGGCTTCTGCCCAGCCCTAAACTCTAGCTTCATGCAAAATTCTGACTCAATTGGTATATTATTGTGGCCTGTAGAGCAACAGCTTAATCAGGAGATGTTTCTCTTTTTAGCCCATTTCAACCCCTAAATATGTTGCGATCATCTCCAAAAACAATAGGTTTCTATTCTGACTCTATCCCCACCTCCATTTTCAATTTCATGAGGATCGGGCCATAATTACGACCTATTGCGTGATTACAAATTAATATGGACAGACGGACGGTCGGACATATATAGCTGTATCAACTCAGCTCGGCGAGATAAGAAGATCCAAATATAATTTCCTATGTCGGGGACCAATATTTCGAAGTGTTACATAATATTTGGCCCAATCAAACTTATAATACCCCCAACACATTGTGTTGTAGGGTATAATGAAATAATTATGGCGTTTGGCTTTACTGCAATTTTTTTATCTCACCCTGTATAGTCCAAATCTAGTACGTCGCAATATTTATATCACATTTATTTAGGTCCGATACGGAATTGACATTACCAGAACATTACCGAATTACTTAGTTCCTCAAACTGATATTAATTACACCATTTTCCAAATTTAATGTTAGTAATGTTCTCCTTCTCAGCAAATATGACCTCTTTCTAACAAACAAAGTATTAAATGAGTATAAAACCCATACCTGACCTGCAACTACTATTTTACTGAAGGTAATTCAAAACATGTTTCAAAATTCCAATTATTTTTCCCCATCCATTTAATTGCACACAAAAATCATAATTTATTTATTGCATACTTTTTGCGAACATATGTTGAAATATTTTATTGCATACTTTTAGGATTGTAATTTTTCTAAAATATTTTTATGTTTACCATAAAATGTTCAAACCTCCGGAAGAATGCTTTGAAAATACACCGCATTTGCAAAATGTTAACAATTTGTGTATTTTGGGAGTGAGTGATTGATATTCATAAATATGCCATACAACTAAATATTATTTTTAATCCAATTTCATAGAAAAGAGATATTATAACTTATGGATGGCATCCGCTAAAATATTTCCAGAAAACATTCAAAACATAAATTAAATAATAATTTATAATGGAATGTCGGAAAAACGTTTCACATTAAAAGTGATGTGAAAGTGAAAAAATAAACGAACTAAAAAAAAAACACAAAATGCCAAAATCAACACGGTCGACAACAACAAAAAACGTGCCCACAGCCGTAAAAAAATCCTCAAAGCAGGCTGAAATAAACAAATAAAATATTCATTTTCAAAACAAACAAAAGTCATAAAATTCAAAAGAAGAGAGACATAGAGAAAACCAAAAAACAAATTGAATATTTTTCAACAAATATTACGAAAGATAAATTTGCATTCAAATAAAAAAAAATCAACGGCCAGCAGAGCAAAAGATGCAATTGCCTCTTAACATCGTGAGAGTGATATTCAATTGAGAACGCAGAAATAAAAACAAAAACAATTGTTAAATAAATATATATTCTATGAATTGCCTGCAGCGAAAATAAAAATTTGCAATTGTTTTCAAATAATAAATCCACGTTCAAAATGCCGCATTTAGCAGAACTTTTAAAACTATCATCCAACCAAACATTTTGTTTACCAGCACTTAGTCGTACATAACAACGTCTGTGAGAAGCTCTGCCTGGACCCACAGACAATCAGCTAACGCGTGACACCCACCAACTGTAACGTGAAAACTTTTCCCTATTTGTGTGTATTGTTGTGGCCACGGCGTGTGTGTTCACGCTTTTTGAAAACACACGCACACACACCCATACCTCAGAGAAGGACGAAAGGACGTTCGTTTGTAGTTAAAGTTAAACAAAATAAAAACACCGAAATCACTTTTACCGGCTCAAAATGAATGCAGCACAAAGTGGTGGGCATGCCGGAGGCGGTGGCATGGGTAAAAAAGGATCTCAAATGGAGGTAAATATAAAAATAAATTAAAGTAAATTTTTAGTTTGGTTAAGCAAACACCCAATATATACATGTGTAAAGTGTGGACAACATACATGCACATGTGTATTGTGTACACATGTAATTACAAATTAAGAGGATTGAACTTAAAAATACAGAAGCAGAAGTAAATGTATGACGAAAAGAGCTCTTAACAGACCATTATATAGATTAGAAACTATTTAAATAAAAAAAAATTATTGACTCATATTTTTTGAGAATATCAGGATTTTTATGATAATCAGAGATTTAATTCTTAGCTTATTGAGAATATATTTGAACAAGTGAAAATATATTAAGATATTATCCGATATTTCGCAACAGGGGCTAAAACCCATTACGAACTACAAATATCAATTTCTGGACAAATCCTAGAAATAGTGTGGAAAAAATCGTAAAAATACCGAATATCGAGAGGTAGCCTATATGGGGGCTATACCAAAACGTAAACCTATACATACAATGTTTCGCCACACGAGCAAGAACCCATTATACCCTACAAATATCAATTTTTAGACAAATCTATGAAAAAATGTGGCAAAAATCAACAAAGTTCCGAATATCGAAAGCTACCGTTATATAGGGGCTATGCCAAAACGTGGACCGATATATCTCATTTTCAATACAACCCATCCTAGGCACAATACAAATTGTTCTACTAATTTTTTTTTTCAAAAGACAGACGGACTTCGTTAAATCGACTTAGAATTTTATCCTGATTATGAATATATACTGGGTGAGATGAAAAAACTGCAACCAACTTTAGACTGCTGTCATTTCTAAGCCGACACTCGTCCGACAGCTGTTAAAACTATTCCAGTGACAGCTTATTATACTGTTTACAAACATACAAACGCATTTTGATAAGACTTTTAGAAAAAAAGTTATTCGTGATGGAATTCAAGCGTGATAGTGTGATTTCTTTATATTTGGCTGGAAAACCACGAGGCTATCGTTAGAGCCCTCCAGCATTTAAATATGAATAAATCTTTTGTGTAGCGCAGCCCGACGTCAATGAAGTGGACGGTAGAAAACAGCAACATCAGCAGAAATGGTTCGAAAAGTAAAGAAGCGACTCTGTGACCAAAAGATGGCTCGTGAGCTAAACATATCGCAATATTCCATTCGGCAAATATTGAAAAAAAATGAGCTCGGGGTAAAGCCATTTTAATTCCAAAAAGAGCAAGAACTTACACCGCAACAAAAAGAAAATAGACTCAAAGGAGCTAAAGAGTTGCTTCGCTTGGCCAAAAGTTGTAAACTGCCGAATTCGTTGTCCAGCAGTTTGTAAACAAACAAAATGATAGTGTTTACTTGCCAAAGAGGTCAGCAAAAAATGTGCACCTTGTCTCCGCTCGTATTATCCAATCCGTACGACTATTGTGTCTGGAGTATTTTGGAAAGCAAGGTTGGCACTAAAATATACCAAAGTGTCGGTCACCTCAAGAAAAGCGCATGGCCGGGAATGGGCCAAAATATCGCAGATCAACATTCGGTCAGCGTGTGACGGTTTCATTGACGGTTTCAAGGCCAAAGGTGAACAATTCGAAAAAATCTAAACTTGTTTATTTATTTATTTTTTATTTTTTTTTTTTTTTTTTTTGTGAGAAACTGAACAAGTTTTACATTTTGACTACTTGATAGGTCTTACACAAATTCTTGGAAGGAATCTAAATCTAAGTAGCGACTAAATTATATTATTTTCTAAGATCTTCAAAACAATAATAATTTTTAGGAATATTTTTTCGAAGTCTTCTAATATGTTTCTTTTAATTTAATCAGCGTATTATTTAAGAACTTCCAGAATAATCTTATTAAGTATTATTAGTGAGATCTTCTAGTACGTTTTCAAGAAGACAGTTTTTCAAGGAATTTCCTATTATATTTAAAAAAAAAAAAAAACAGTATATTTATCCTTCAAGAACTGTTTGACAAACTTTCCGAAGAAAATATTTCTCAGAAATTGTAATTATTTTTGTTAACAAATATGAGTGGATTTTATGTATTTTATATTCACATTTGTGTGTTTATTTTTGAACAGTCTTTTTAGGAAACGAATTTTTGGAGGAATTTTGGGATTTTCTTCCAAAAATTTAAAAATCATTTTTTTTAAATATTTTGACAAAATGCTATAGAACTTTTAAGAAATTAGAGCGCATAGTTTCCACGAATATTTTTAAGACTCAGTAGTTAGTTTTTCATGGAATTTCGGAAGTTTCAATTCAAATTCAACTTTTTTTAATGTTTAAAATATAATAAAATAGTCTGAAAGGCGTTCGTTTCTAGTGGATTTTGTTAGAGAACTTGAAAGCTTACTCTTTTAGAGCAATTTTTTGAGAAAGTTGATTTGTTCTTGTGACATCCGAAATTCCTCTTTGCTGCCAAAATGTATTCTTTGCTTATTGACGATATCTATATTAGTTCCTTCGAAATCTCATTATAGGACACAATTTTTCTTAATACACATTTATCTCTTCAAGAAATCTGTTGGTATTAACAAGGCCACACCATTAACCTCTAAACTTGTTCGCACGCCATAATTTATTGGGTGGAAAGTGCTTTCTTTTTTGTTGATTTAAGATTATAAGCGTAATTTTCTTCGCTCACTCTATTACAGGAGTTATTACCAGTTGGCAACCAGCAAAAAAACCATCCTGCCAACCACCTAAAAAAACCTTCCATTGTTGAGATTTATGGATATTGTGTTACAAATTTCTCGTCTTCCGCAGTAAATTTAATAGCCGTGTTTATGTGAGACCCAATCGCAAGTAGCCGAGTAACCCAGGTATTGCTATGGTGATGGTGGTTGCGTTGAAATTTATTATCCAGATACACTTCGAGTAAATCTTAAGGTAATGGTTAAACTTAATTTAATTTAACGCTTTCTTAAAGTAATTTCTAGCCGATGAGAGGGCTACTCTAAAGTTTGCCAAGGCAAGTACTCTAGAAAAAGAAAATGAAAATGAAGAGCTTAAAGGAAAATCATTAAATACAAGTTATGATTCCTCTAATGGAGTTGAGTATAATCTGGCGTTAGCCTGAATTTGCGTTAAAAAGGAATTACGATATGCATAAGAAGAAGGTATGACAAAAAAATATAGCCATCAATTCACTTTGAAGGCGTATTAAAGTTTTTCACTTTGTCAACGAAATCCAATTTCTGGCATCTTTTTTGGTTTGCTTAAAAAGAAAATAAATCGCATATCAAAGGAAGTATTTCAGGGTAGGTTTCTCATTTGTCGTTTGGTTGGCTAGTCTTAGGAGTAGTTGGTGTGATCCGTTTTAATTCCCTGATATGTATATGCATATCATGATATGCAAACATAGTATAGCATATCATTATGTCATGACAAGTGAGATGTTGGGTTACAGATAATATAAATTTCGACAATATAATGACTCGTCTTCACAATATTGTTTAGATAAATAACTAGTTCTTTATTTCGTACCTAAGACCACGCCATTCTGTTAATAACACTGTGCGACACGATTAAATGTTTTTAAATGATTAACTCAAAAAGCTAGTATAGTACTGAAATAGAGCTAAACAAGTTAAAAAGTATCAGTCGGTTTTGCCGACAGATGCGTAGCTTCAGCCACTGTTCGATTATTTAAATATATTTTGACTTCTGTTATGATTATTCAAATTGTTGACGCTCTATGGAGTAGCTTCTGAAGGAATGGCCAATAGTGGCCATTTCGCATCGGACCTAAAAAGTTATAAAGAATCGCTGACTCATTTCGCTGTATGAAAGACCTTTCGATTATGAAAATAAAGCTAAACAAGTTAAAAAGGTATGTATAGCACCAATTAGTATTTTCGTACTATTATGGAACATCTTTATAAAAATCCTTCCACCAACAGGGACCCTAATTCCAAAACTTTTTTCTTTGTACTTGTAGTACACATTTACCACACCGCGTCCATATATCTCATTTCAAGGTACCAACAGAGGTCTTAAAATCAAATTTGAGGATTCCAGACCTACCTTAGTTCTATTCGTCAAATATAGAACGCATTTCCAAATCACTGCCAAGTCTCACTCAGCACGCGCCACCCAAGAATGATTACAAAATGATGTTCCTTGCTTCATTTCCAGCGCACAATGGCCACTAAAATCTCCGGATACCAATCCGTTGGACTATTGTGTCTGGAGTATTTTGCAAAGCAAAGTTGGCACTAAAAAATACCAAAGTATCGATCACCTCAAGCAAGCGCTTCGTCGGGAATGGGCCAAAATACCGCAGAGCAACATTTGGGCAGCGTGTGACGGTTTCATTGGCCATTTGAAGGCCATAATTCGTGCCAAAGGTGGCCAATTCGAACAAATCTAAACTTATTCTAAAATTTGATTCTATTTCCGACATTTGTTGCATTCGTTCAATAAAATAAAAAAAAATCTAAAAATTATAGCGTTCGTCTTTGTTGCAGTTTTTTATCTCACCCTGTATTTGTTGTTGCTCGAAATAAGTTGAATGTTTTCCTACACTACACCTTTAAAATTGAAACAAGTTAATGCTACGAAATTTATTTAAAAGATAAAAGGTTTTTCCTAACCACATTCTCAGCTATTTCAGTCAAGCATTAAGTCTAGAGGAGACTACAATCAAAGTTGTTTCCAATAAAAGTTGTAAATTCCATTTGGAAAAATTTCTCTTCCACATTTTGAAATAGAGAAGAAAAAAAAAAAAACAAAGAAAATTTTAATTTGATTTCAACATCAAAGTAGATAAGAAATATTTTCTAGAAGCAAAAAAAAAAAAAAAACAAACAAAAAACATTGAGGTTTGTTTGTTAGTCATGGCAAACGTATTTTATTGGAAAAAAAAGGTGATTTGTGCCTATATTTGATGCTGGCCACATTTATTGCTTTTGCATTTCTCCACACTCTGTCAACAGACGATTCATCTATTTTTCGTAAAGATTTACTTGTCCTAGTGGAATATGGATTAGACGTAGAGAGAGAGAG